ATATTTAGTCTGAGTCTGCTGCAGGGTGGCTAATCTAAACTGAGCTAACAGTCACTGGGGGTGGGGAACATACCTGGGGGCCCAGTTAACCCTCGCTCTGCTTTTTCCACTCAGCACTGTAATCCCCAGCCCTTCCCCACACTTCTCTTTTTCTTTGTTTATTTTACTTCCTCCAGGATCTTTTCTTTCTACAGAGAAAGCTGCTGAGATTCAGGTGGCACAAATTCCTGAGACACTGAATCACTGAACCTTGGAAACAGAGCAACAGAGGGTCCAGACCAAGCGGGGGATCATCATCACCATCAATCAGCAGCAGAGAGGAGGACAGAAGAAACATGAATCGATTTCAGTTCATGTTCTGCTTGCTACATCCAGATCAGACATCAGCAACAAACTGCCAAACATCCTAACACTGAGGTCACCAAACCAAACCAAATGACCTCCTCAGTCCATCAGACAGACACACTCGGGTCGAGTTGACGGGATCCTGTGAGGCATCATGCAGTGCAGCTCACCTCTGAACTAAACACGTCATCTGATTTATGAAAACACCTTCAGTTGCTTTTATCATCCGAGGCATGATGGGAACTGTAGTTGCAATGCTCGGAAATGCTTAAATCACAAATCAAGTTAAGAAAAAGCAAAACGAGACACTACATTGATAAATACTATCATGTTGGTTCTCCCTTGTCCATTCATGCACACATATTTACTGTGTGATGTTTACACGTGGACAAGAATGTGAATCGTTGTGAAGACAACGACACACGTTAGATTGTCACAGGTCAGAAAAACAGTGATTACACTGATCAAACATTTAACACCATTCACCTTTATTTGCACAACAGCCAAACAAAGCAGGCAGAGTCATAACAACTGACTCTTAAAAATCTCTGAGATGTGAAATGACTTTATGTAATTCCTGTAAAATAAAAGGAGAGAAAGGTGAGCAGGAAAAAATTTCCAGCGACCTGTAGTTTAACATAATAACCCTCAATGTCCACATTCGTTGTCTGAAAAGATGGTGAGGGTTTGGTGAGTTTGATGCTAACGACATGAACTCAGTCACACCTCACACGGACTCTGTCTCTGACTGTGCAGAAGTCAAACATCCTCCTCTGCTCAGCCTCAGGCAGCTGGAAGTCATTACAGCCTCCTCCCCCTCACACAGGCCGATGGTGTATGTAACCACATTATAGATCCATTCACTGTGTGCCAGTAGACCCTGGACAGCTGTGTTGACCATTTAGTTAGAACAACTCAGATGCTTCAAACCAACCTGCGCGTGCACATTAACATGTATATCATATATAATATGGCTGAAGGATAAATGGAGGCTGTTTAAAGTTAAAGCAGGCTCAGCTCCTGAAAACTAAGCTCAACTACAATCACTTGACCGAATCAGTCTGAACTCAACTTTAATCCTGAGTTAAAATATTGAGATTCATGAGGAGAGGACAGAGAGATACGTTGCTAATAGTTCTGTGATTCGGTTATGACTGTGACATCCTGCCAAACGCATGCAGTTTGACTGTGTTATTACTTCACCTGTGACTACTCTGCCTGCTCATATAAACACCACAGGAGGCACTGATGGCGTAAAGTTACAGAAGAGACCACGTGAAGCCTTCATCTCACCCTAAAGCATCGAGTCAGTTTTATTTATACATCCCACTATCATAAATCACAACCTCAGACGTCTTTTCAACATACAGCACATGACGTCTTTAGGGCCTCGGTTCCAATAAAGACGACCAGAGGAAAAGAAACGTACTGTTTTAGCTCTACTGTTGTAGAGTAAATTGCACAAACAGTTTTAGAAATCGGAGCGAAGATGGAGGTGTCTATGTTGGGGGGGGTTGCAACACAGAAATGAGTATGAAATGACTTCCAGGTTTGCTCCTGATCCTGAATCTGTACCCGGATTTTATTTATTGGGTGAAACCTCCAGCAAAGAACAAACACTGGGACAAACAGGCTCCTGTTCAAGTTTCTACACCTATAAAACCTGTAACACTCAGTCAACAGCAGGAAAATTAGAGCAAGCTCCATCTGTTGTTCTGGGTTAAGACCAGTTTAAAAGCCAAATGAAACCAGTGTGACTGTACAAAGAACTGACAGAAAGACCAAAAAGACTCCATTTGTTTCAGAACTAATCACTTCAACTTTGTTATAGTTAGCTACTTTAAGAGAACAACAAAGTACAAGAATTAAATAAGGCTGAAGCCATGTAGTATTTAGTCTCAGGTGCTGTCCATGTAACCTTCACAGATACCACAAATATCTGAACTCTGATTCTCTTGAAGCCTTAACTGTGGAAGAAAACTGAGTTAGACTGAAACCTGAAGAGCAGAAGAGGAAAAAAAAACAGAGAGAAAATGCTGCAGATGTTTGAGTTAAATGGAGGTTAAAGTAAACAGGAAGCTAATGCCTGATTCCAGTGAAGGCACCGCTACTGTAAACACACTGAGGCTTCAGCAGGTCAGTGAACGCCTTGCTCCTTATTATCAAGTCAGGTTTTCCATCAGCCCCAAAATTTTTAGGAAAAATGTGAAAGAAAATGAGATCAAACAGTTTTTCATCAGTTAAAAGGTTCAATGCAGTGTTTACTGTTACTGTCTCCATAAAAACAGTCAAATAAAACAGAGCTCCTTCAGTGTAACTGCACAAATTGGCATTTGTTTTACACTGGACAAAGTGCAGTGAAAGGAAAGTGCCATCACAGAGTTCCTCAGTGAAGTTTGACTTTGTTTGGACACAAGAATGGATAATTGTCAGGTCCGCTTGGCGCGGCCTGCCTCTCTTTCTTTTTTCCTCTCCTGCTCTCCCTTTTTGCGGGATCAACACCTCAGCTGTGTCGTATCGGGTTATTAGTGACTCGTGGGTCGGTGCGCACACCTGAGGCGTATTCCAGTGATTTGTTGGCTTCCTTATGTATACCTCTGGCAGACGCCCCGTCATCGCCGGAGCATTGCGATATGTAATGGACAGTACTTACCCTATGTAAGTGACAAATGTTGTGTTTGACCCGCATATTTTTTAGACATGTGTAAGCACCTGGGTCAGCCATCTTGAGTCCAACCCCAGTTCTCCCTCACCCTCCTAGTGAGGGGGACTAAACCAAAACAATAATGGACTTCTCACACACACACACACACACACACACTATAGGAGGCAACAGAGCTCGATTTGGTTTATTTCCTTGGGTTTCCTAAACATTTTTTGCAGAAGTTGTTTTGAGGTCAGAGGGGTCACTTAAGGACACAGAGAAAACGCACAGTCCACTGAATGTGTCTGTGTGTGTTTCTGAGGCTTGTGGAAAACAGAAAGGATCCTGAGTTCCAAACTGCCACAGTGTTATATTTCAGAAACAGCAGCTGGTCAGGAGGGAAGCCAGCACTGCTGGACGTTGTTTCAGGGATCACTGGGTTTCTGCATCTTTTTTTTTTTTAGTTGTTCCAGGACTGTTGGTAGGGTCCTTGCGGGGTTTCCAGGAGTCCTTGAAGGGGAGTTTCTCGACAAAATTAATTGCCGAGTCACTTCATTACAGATTTGCTTTCTTCGGAACAAACGGATCAGATCAGAGACTGTGATGTGAAAATCACACAAAGTAAATATTTCTTCATGTTTATAATATTAGTTTGTGGCAACTGTTCTTTTTGTTTCCTGTCAGTGACCTGCAGACACATTGACAATATACATTGCACATATTTATGCACACATCAGTATTCATGTGTTTCTGGGCAGGTCAAGGTTAACACATCTGTAGCTAATACACACTCTACTGCTGGGAAACAAACATGTTTCCACCAGCTGACCTGCGCAAATATCACAGACCTGTGGGCAATGATAAAGTCAAAGGTGTGTGGTTTCATTTCAGTGTTAATGCAGACACAGCTCTATATTCTGTTCACTCAACCTGCTTACAAGCTTTACATTTAGGTTTCAGACTTTCACACATCAACACATCACAGTAGCTTATATCAACCAGCTATAAATGTTTTTCTGTCAGTCATGGTAAAACCTGAGGGAAAACTAAGAGGAGATAAAAGATTTCCTGGCAGTATCACTATATATTTTATACCATACTGTTCCAGCTCTTCACAGAAAGTTGATATGGTGTGAATAAACACGTTGCTCACAGAAAAGTGCAATTTACAATTTAAACTAAGTTCACAAAATGATCAAAAGTTAAAGTTCAGTGTGCAAATAAGGTTTGTAACATGATATTTGAAAACAACTGCATGTCTTTCAGTGATGTGAGTTAAATAAAATGTTTTATTTTACAAAGAGATTATTCTACTTCTACTGAACAATATAATAGAAGCCTCTTTTACCAATTTCTCAGCCAAACTAAAACATTGTGATTAGTGTAGGAAGATTTTAGTAGGTTAGTATTAACCTATGTCTGACCATGTGGGGTCATGAAACTAAATATATATATTTTTTATGTGTTGTTTCCTCTGAGTAAAGTATTTCAACCACAGACTCGACATTGTGGATTTCAGATCTTTGATCTACGATAGAAAGCTGAAATTATTAAGTGTACTTATCGTTGCTGGAAAGTAATCATAAAAACTTTGTACATAATTTATTTATTATATTTATATAATTAATACATTTACATTTTTAGACACATAATCATTTTGTTGTGTATCACACTAAACACTGGACCGTTCTGAGACATTGTTCCAGTATTTTTTTGACAGGAACCAATCTGTTAATTGGAAAAACAAGTCAATCAGTAGTGACAATCTTTATTTGAAGCTTTACTTTAATAAGAATGTGAAAAGTTAACCTGAGAATAATTCATGCTTCTTTATGTTCCCATCTCCTCAGGTGGAAAACTTTCAGCTCCATCTGTCCAAACTCCCACCATCCTCTGATAAGGTGTCCTCTCCTGTCTCAGCCAATCGTGTTGTTCCTCAGCTGTATAAAGGCTCCTTGTCCAGACAGACACAACATGATCAAGCCATGGCCAGCCTGTGGATCCTCTCCTGCCTTGCCTTTGTTGGGGCCGCCTATGGTGAGACAAACTTTTAAACATTAGAATTACAGCTAAGGGAGTGATGTATGCTGGGACAGTACCCACCGTGTCCGATGATGCTTCATTTATGTTTTTGTTCAGTCCCAACATATAACTTCAGAGCAAGACAAATAAAATAACTGGCAAAGATAGAAGCATGTTAAAAGGAAGGATATACAGCACAGACTTTTTTTAGTAAACAGTTTGTGTTTATGTCAGAAAATGTAAATCAGAGTATTCGTGACTTCAGATCATCAGATTTTTAGTTTTCGTTATTTTTACTTCTTTTAGTGTTAAGTGTTATGTTAATTTACATTACAATGATGCTCATGTTGTTATTTTATTGTTTTTTGTTGATTTTAATAATGTCCTGATGATGTCACCAGGTTGCGGCACTCCCGCCATCTCTCCCGTCATCACCGGTTACTCTCGTATTGTGAACGGTGAGGAGGCTGTGCCTCACTCTTGGCCCTGGCAGGTGTCCCTTCAGGTAAACATACACGCGCGCGCGCGCACACACACACACACACACACACACACACACACACACAGGTGTGCTAATAAACGTGTCCTAACCATTGTTGTTGTTGTTTCAGGATTATACTGGCTTCCACTTCTGTGGCGGCTCTCTCATCAGTGAGAACTGGGTGGTGACAGCTGCTCACTGCAACGTTAGGTAAAAACCTTCAACCTGTCGCCTTTCATTTCTCTTCTCTGTGCTCTGGAAGACATCCATGTGTTTACAGGTTTACAAGCAAAAAAACAACACTCCAGACTTAAATAAACTGCAAACCTGGGCTCTGCTCTATTAAACTCAGTCACTGAGATTTTGACTCTATCAGCAGTTGTTGTCATAGCAACAAGTCCTTTATCCTAAAACTGCAGCAGTTCACACTCAGGATTAGGATGAGGATTTTGATACATGAGATTATTTTCTGATGCAGATTAGGCCCTTCCTTTGGTGTATGATATATTAAATATTAGGGGTGTAATGATTTTCCAAATACATGGCTCAGTTCAGATCTAAGCTTAATACCTAACCCAGAAATGGGGATGTGAGTTGAATAAGAACAAAAAACTGGAAAAATCTTCAACCAAAGCCTCAAATTATTTCATTATGTCATAAATTATTTGCAATAACAGTAGCAATAGTAATATTCTGAATAGCACTGCTGTTATTGCAGATTTGCGTTGGGGGACTCCACATACATTTGTACCCAGACCTGAACTGAAAAATCCAGATGTAATAAATCTCTGAACTCTTCTGGTCTGATGTAAAGGAACCTGGTTTGGAGCCATCAAAAATCCTGTAATCAAACTTGGCAGCAAACAGTGAGTTACCTGATGCTGCACCTCTTATCAATAGCAGACAGGTGTTTTTCCAGGTGATACCAGATCAGTGCAGACACATCTATGCAGGGCAACATGCTGTGGGCCAACCAGGGTGAACTATTTTGAAGACAACATGATATGAATTGCTGAGGAATATTCCAATCACACTGCCCCTGCAGCTGCATTAGATGTATGGCATATTTGACTTTCTGTGTTAGGGTTACTGGCATGATACACTGGCCTACACGTTACAGTAGAGGGGCAGCATAATTGTTTTTTGGCTAGATCAACAAATGTGCATGCGCCAGCCCTATACCAGATGGTCTCAACCTTCTCTCTATTTCTGTCCCTGCAGGACGTCCCACCAGGTGATCCTCGGAGAACATGACCGCTCCTCCAAAGCTGAAGATATCCAGGTCATGAAGGTTGACAAGGTAGGTGACAAACAGCATCAGTTTTTCAGCTAAACATGGTGTCTTCCTCTGTGTTCTCCTGTCAGAACAATGTCATTTTCTTCCAGGTGTTCAAGAACCCCCGTTTCAATGGCTTCACCATTAGCCATGATATCCTGCTCATCAAGCTCGCCAGCCCCGCCCAGCTCAACATGCGTGTTTCCCCCGTGTGTCTGGCCGAGACCGGTGACGACTTCCCCGGAGGCACGAAGTGTGTGACCACTGGTTGGGGCCTGACTCGCTACAATGGTGAGACAGTTTGCATCACAGCTGCCAGAACAGAACTCACCTGCATCACCTGGCCAGTCAGAGGGGAGTGGAGGTGGTGCAGAGGTGGAACACATGGTGATGTTCAGGGTGCAACATAACAAATTTGAGAGACTGGGATTTTCATGGAAACACATCCCATCAAACCTCACATGTCTTAGAGGGAGGTGTTACAGATAAAAACATTATTTTCAACTGTCCATCTTTTTATCGAGTTTAAGGCTCAGAGATGCAGAGCAATATTCTTTATCTTAACTAATAAAATAACAATACTCAGTTTGTAGACTAACATTTGAAATGTTTGTCACTAATGTATGTGTGTTGCAGCTCCTGACACCCCTGTCCTGCTACAGCAGGCCTCCCTCCCCCTGCTGACCAATGAGGAGTGCCGTAATTACTGGGGCAGCAAAATCTCAGCCACAATGATCTGCGCTGGAGCTGATGGAGCCTCCTCCTGCATGGTGGGTGCTACTGACAGACAGCAGAAGGGAAGCTGCTGATATTTAGGTTGCTCATATTTTGGTGTTTGTTCCTAATTTATCTGTTTATGTGTAGAGTTCTCTGGGTGATTCCGGTGGTCCTCTGGTCTGCCAGGAGTTGTGTATTTGATGTTTTATTTATTTGTTAATTGGTTGTGTTTTCAGGGTGATTCCGGTGGCCCTCTGGTCTGTCAGAAATCTGGAGCCTGGACTCTGGTCGGAATCGTGTCCTGGGGCAGTGGAACCTGCACTCCCACATTACCTGGTGTGTATGCCCGTGTCACCGAGCTCCGTGCCTGGGTGGATGAGACCATCGCTGCTAACTGAAGTGCTAATGTCAGTCTAGACAGTTTCATGATGATCATCAATAAAACAAAACAAAGAATCTCTTAAACAGATCTGTTGTTGTTTGCTCACATAGAACTTGTTGGTTCACACTGAATATAAAAACATACTTGGACATTTTGAAAATAACCTGTCTGTGTTTTCAATGCAGAACTGTTAGCTTAGCATCGATTCTGTCCTAAGATGTTAAAAAAATATATCTAGCAACACCGCTAAAGCTCACTAACTACAAACCCCTCTCTCTCTTTCAAAATTATTTAAAGGGTAAATGATTTTTTTTTCCTGCTATATTTTTCCCAAAAATGGGTATGAGGATTATAGACAGTCCTAATTTTGCTGTAATTTCCTTTGTTGTAGGGATTCAGGGAAATGAAAGGTGACATTAAACAGTGTCCCCGGGACAACCAGTTAGCATCAGACAAAGCAAATACAAGATATTAGGCTCATTTGAGATGAACTGTGCCTCACCTGGTAAATGGATGAGAGCAGGTGGCAGCAGGAGAACAATGACAAAAATCCACAGTCAAGATGACTAGATCAGGAGCCTTGCACTGGCCTTCAGTCTGTACAGGAAGTCACAGAGGCACTCACGTACTGTAGGATCTGATTGTGATTCAATAAAATGTTATCAGACCAAACTTTTCAGCTTCTACTCAGGGTCCAAACAGCTGTTGTCTTAATGATGTTCTTCTATATGACAAGGAGATTGATAGCATGCAGATCTGTTATTAACTATTATATATCCTCTCTCTGGAAGAACTACACAGTTTCTGCTGCTTCAGAAAAGCTCAGAACATCATTAAGGACACTTTACACCCAGGACATTCATGCTTTGAACTGCTGCCGTCAGGTTCAGAGCAATCAAATCAAGGATCATTAGATTCAGGAATAGTTTTTACCCAACAGCAGCTACCACACTCAATGCTGCAAAACTATAATATGCCTGTGTGTGTGAGGGGGCGTGTGAGTGGTCTGCTGTTTATTTCATTTTAGTGGTTATGTTTTTATATGGTTTTATTTCATATATGTTTTTTTTATTGCTGCACCGATTGGAGGTCATTCTAAAATGTCATTGTATGTGTTACAATGACAATAAAAGATTATCTAATATCTCATTTAAATATTGTGCCTAAAAATGTATTTGAGCTACACTTGTCATGCAAAGCATCATCAGATCAGTTTGCTGCCGTATTTGAGCTGACCAGGCTTGATTTGATAGGAAACTGCATTAATACATTCACAGCCATTGTACATCTGTCAGATACTTAGTCTGCATCACCTCTATACAGATGTCACTGAAAGAGCCTTCCCACTCACCAACAGCTTTTGTGCCACTTAATCCTTCACATATAAGTCAGTTCATATTGCAGAGCAGAACTACCACAGATTGCCTGCATTAGAACTAATGAAATGTCCTGTAGACTGACTGTATTCAGTTTCTTTGACTGATAATTCACCATCAACCACACATTTATTCTGTCAACATAATAAACCTTCATAGTGCAAAAGCCAACTAATAAAATCACAGCCACTGTAATTATGAAATTAGTAATAGCTATAGAGTCCTCATACACACTTTTATGGGAAATACTGCTAGTTCAATAACACCTAAGCTATTCTTTTATGTGTTTTGTTCAGTGAACCTTTGTTATAAATTACAAGATATGTGCTAAATTGACATTTTTCATTATATTTTCTCAACATGTAGTTTATTACATAAAGAGCACATTTTTATAAAACATGCAAATGCATCGACATGTTTACTGTGCACAGTGTTTGTTTCTGGCTCCCCATCTCCTCACACTACTTCATCCTCAGGGGTGCCATCGGTCGTAGATAGGTTTGGTCAGGTATGTCTGGGTGGGCAGGCATGGCCAACTCTGCGGCAATAGCAGATGGCATTGAAGAAGCGGCAGTAGCAAGTGTCACAGGGGTCACAGCAGGGCAGTGGGTAACCAAGACAAGACTGCTGGTGAGGGATACAGCGACGCGGTGAACGCATGGCCCGCCCCTGCATCTGCAAGGCTGCTGATGAGTCCTGGAAAACAGGAAGGAAACAGATGGAAACAAGGAACAGGAAATAAATAAACTGCAGTCAACCTAGGATATGTTAAGTGAGCTGGAACAGAGACAGTGAATCCCAGTTCCCCTGAGTGCATACATGTTTTCCCTCACTTGTGTTGTTTCTTTTTGGTCCCACCCACATAAGATGCAAGAAAAGGATGCAAGGAGAAACTGTGAGGTGACAGGAACTGAGGAAACATGTTTACACTGACATGAGATGTTCTTTCCATGGCTTCTTCATGTGAAGCATCCAATGTCAATTTATGTATAAAGTATGTTTAAAAACCGCGTCAGTTGGCCAAAGTGCTGTATATAACAATATATACTGTAACATAAAACAGCCATAAAAGAGGTATGAGAACAAAAACACAAAAAAGAGAGCCATCTCCCTCTGACTATACTTAAAATAAATAATAAATAGGATAAAGGAAAATTAGATTAAAGCTATCAAGATTTGTCATAAGCCAGGGCATAACAATGTCTTAGGAGAGGATTTCTAAATGTTCACTGATGGGGCCAATCTAATATGTAAAGGCAGCTCATTCCAAAGCTTAGGGGCTGCAACTTCAAAGGTACAGTCATCTCCACATTTTTCCTTGATTTAGGAACTACCACAAGTGAATGATCAGCAGACCTAAGAGGTCTGGCTGGACAGTAGGGTTTGAGAATCACAAACTGATTTCCTATGAAGGGATGTGTTGATCTGTAACAGACTTTCATGAAGGATGCACTTGTGTATCCTTGGTTATAGGTCCTCCAGGCAACATCCTGGCTCATCAGAGCAGAAATAAAAGCTTTGGGATGTCCTTCATCATGGTGGACTAGACCAACTTCTGGGTTGAGCGAGGATCGAGGACCAAGGAACAATAAAATAATTGGGATTCATCTGGAATGCTCTGTATCTTTAAATAAACCACACCCACCTCATCGTATGACCCTGCATCTATCAGAAAGTGATCCTCCACTGAGTCGACAGGTAGGAGCGCAGCATCATGCATGGGGTTGGGGGGATGGTTTCTCTCTGTAGGACACAAGGCAGAAAGCAGACTTTGTTACGTGTGAGTGTGGACCCCAGTTGCAGACACAGACCAGGAGGAGTAGGAGCCAAAGAAAGTGGTTTAATGAACAAAAACACAGGTGAGGCTGGGTGGCAGGAAGACGAGGACCCAGGGAGGAGACCAGGAGGAGCCAAGAGGGACGAGGAGGAGACCAGGAGGAGCCAAGAGGGACGAGGAGGAGACCAGGAGGAGCCAAGAGGGACGAGGAGGAGACCAGGAGGAGCCAAGAGGGACGGGGAGGAGACCAGGAGGATGAAGAACCAGGAGGATGAAGAACCAGGAGGGATGAGGAGGGGACAAGGAGGAGACCAGGAGGACGAAGAACCAGGAGGGACAAGCAGGAGACCAGGAGGATGAAGAACCAGGAGGACGAAGAACCAGGAGGGACGAGGAGGAGACTAGGAGGACGAAGAACCAGGAGGGATGAGGAGGGGACAAGGAGGAGACCAGGAGGACGAAGAACCAGGAGGGACAAGCAGGAGACCAGAGGGGACCAGGAGGGACGAGCAGGAGACCAGAGAGGACCACGAGGAGACCAGCAGGAGACCAGAGAGGACCACGAGGAGACCAGCAATGGACAGTGTTCAGCATCCTTACAGCCTGGTGGATGAAGCTGTATGTAAGTCTGGTTGAGTGGGCCTGAAGACTCTGATATCTTCTCCCTGAAGGCAGGAGTCTGAAGTGGGAGTGTGCAGGGTGAGAAGTGACATCAGTAATGCTGATGGCTCTGCGGATGAGGTGGGGGTTAAAGATGTCCATGAGGGAAGGCAGAGGGGTGCAGATGATCTTGTTGGCTGTATTCACTATGCGTTGCAGGGTCCTTCTGCAGGAGGCAGTACAGCCTCCGTACCACACAGTGATGCAACCAGTGATGATGCTTTCAACGGTGCCCCGGTAGAAAGAGTGCATTAAGTGGGGTGGGGCACTGGCTCTCCTCAGTTTCACAAGATCTGTGAAAAGGATGTGTGTGGCCTTTTTAAAAAAACAAAAGATTAGAAAGGCACCAGGCCCAGACAGTGTGCCTCCATCCTGACTGAAAACCTTGTGCTGGTCATCTGGCCCCCATCTTCACACTGATCTCACACCCTGGATACAAACTGTTTGAGCTCCTCCCTTCTGGATGGTGCTACAGGTCACTGTAAGCCAAGACAACCAGGCACAAACATGGTTTCTTCCCCCGGGCCCTCACTTTGATCAACACCTAACCACTGACTGTATAACAGAACAACAACCCTTTAGTGCAAAACCTGTAAATTTACTTTTGTTTATATCGATCTCAAAAACTCCATCTAAACTATATGCATATTTATTTCTAGATTTAAAAGTAGTTTTATTTTTTATTTTCCTAATGCATATTCATTTTTCTTGTTTGCACACTCTTTTTCTCTTTTCATTCTTTCAGTCTTATCTTGTTTACTTGTTGCTTTCCAGAAGAACATTGTACATACACATTGAGAGCCACTGTACCTGGATCAAATTCCTTGTGTGCCCAACACATCTGGCCAATAAAGCAGATTCTGATTCTGATATATGTTTTTATGCTGTATATGTATGTGTACTGTGTATATGTATATTATGGATACTGTATAATATTGTATAGTATTATAATCATAGTAGGACATTAATAGAATGTAGAAAGGTATTTAGCATGTTACATTATATCTATGGTTACAAAGATTAGTCGACGTAATCGATTATGTCAATTATGGAATTGTAGTGTTGACACGTCATATTATAAAAAATATAAATGTTCATTGTTAACTGCAGTGCACTACAAGAAGTGCTGGGAGCAGTATCACTTCCATTGAGTGCAATGATTGCATTCTATACTAATGAAGACGAATGTATGCCACAAAGCTGGGTGAGGAACTGGGTGGCTGTTATGGTTTGTGGACATCCTGTTTGGTGCATTTATTTCGGTTAGTTTGCTGTCTTGTATCACCTCACTTGCCCCAGCTTTACCCCAGTGCACAATCACCACTCATTGTTTTCACCTCATTAGCCTGTGTTCTCTAGCCCATATATACTCCTTCTTTCCATCAGTCTCTTGCTGGTTCATTGTCTGTTCACCACACCCTGCTTGTCTGTGGAGTCCACAATGTGGACTCTTGGACGTTTTGACTCTGTTTCATGTTTGTTCCTTTGTGTTTGGGATCCTGACCTGTTAGTAGCTCTTTTGTTAGTTTCTCCAGTCTTGTTTTAAGTTTCTTGCCATGCTCTCTGACCTACTATTTAGTTTAGCATTTTGGAATTCTCTGTTTAACCCTGTCAGATTGAGCCTTTGTATTTTTTTCCCCTTTGGGCTTGTTCTTTATTAAAATCCTACTTGAACCTTCCCTTGGCTCGTGTGTCTGCACTTTGGGTCCTACCTAGCCGGTAAGCCTAACTGGTGGCTATGTCAGTGAGTTGTATCAAAACATTTTAAAAAACAGCGGAAGTGGTGGATATTATTGAGCACAGTTACAGCAGCAAAAAGACGACCAGTAATCTCAAGTTTAGGATCACTTGATTTTACAGTCAGGAGACTGTCCAGTGCCAAGCATGCAAAAGGTGTCTGTTGTGGCAGGGGAGTATATCGCTAATGCATTAGCAGTTAAAGAAAATTCCGAGTTACAGAAGAAGAGAGTCTGGAGCTAAGTAAATTAATAATGTACAATAAGTAGGCTGCCCACCAAAAGCCGAGGTCTGTTGGAGGTTTCTTCCATTAAAGGGAGTTTTTCATCCCTGCTTGTTGCCAAGTGCTGCTCAGGGGATTTATTGGGTTTTTCTTCTGTAATAATAGTGAAGAGGTTTAGACCTTAATTTGTAAAGTGCCCTGAGATGACTGAGAACTGGCACTAAACAAATGAATTGTGTTGAACTGAACTGAATATACACTAATGTGAAATGTGCTATTCTGCATAATGACTGCTTTTACTTTTGCTACTTCAAGTATATTTTGATGCTGAAATTTTGTACTTTGAGTTAAGTGGCCTTTTGAATGCTGGACTCTTGTAACAGTATTTCTACAATGTGGCTTTTATACTTTTTCTTAAGTACTGGAGTACTGCTTCCACATTGTCTTATTGTGTTACGTTTGGCTTGGTAAACAACACATTTAGATTTTTACTCGATATAAATATTTTAGTCCTTCTGTGGTCTCAGAACAGCTGAGCTTTCTGATTGGACAGGTGTTACTGACCTATGTCAGACAGGTAGGAGGTATCGGTGCGGCGACCGGTGGCCGGACCGTCATCCAGCTGGATGTTTCCATGAACCAGAGAGGAGGAGAGACGCAGCAGACTGAAGAACCAGCAGCAGAGCAGCACAGAGCCAAACATCGTCCTGCTATCACAGTGAAGACAAACAAGAAGAATCCGCACCACAACTCCCACAATCCTTAGCTTCTCCGGTAAGGACCTCTGAAAGAAACAAACGGGGTTCAGTTTTTATTTTAATGGCAGTGAACATGGGTGAGAGCTCTTTAAAAGTTACATAGTCACATCCATAAACGCTTTGTTACACAAACAGGTGCCAGCTGGTAAAATGTGTCTGGCATATTTCCTCAGAGGAAAAACTGAATAAATAAATTATTCCTTTTATAATTTTCCAGGCTCTTAAAGCAATGTAAGTAAATCAAATTAACTCATTTCAGATCATCTTCACCCAAATGATTGTTCAAATTCTGAGTATATTAGAATAAAATCACCACAGTTTGCACAACAAAATAAACAGTGGGAACCTGCTTGATATTATATTTATGAATCAAACTCAAATCAGTAACATTAACTCATCAGTTCCACAAAACATTTCTGTATGGAAAACCTGTTTTTCTGTGTTTTTGACATCAGAACACAGATTATAAAATAGAAAAAATGTACAACTTTGCATAAACATTGATTTGTTTAGTTGCCTTTCAATATTTTTGTTGGGTTAGTCTAATGCAAGAATAATGACAATGTTTTATCTCCTCAAAAAAGGCAAATGCCTAAAGAGTGCAGGCAAGAGACAGACTCAGAGAAATGTAAAGGTGACTCACCTGTCGCTGTGACTCTGCTGTCTCTCTCTCTGAGAAGAAACAGCCAATTTAAGGACCCCTGGAGAGGAAGGAGGTCACATGACCAGCTAAGGGTAGGTGTCGTGTGCAACATTTGTTTGTTCATGCTTTCATACAATCTATTGTCATTCTGATTTCTACACCATGGGAAATCAGAATCATAGGGACTGCCTCACAAACCATATATTTCCTGTCATCAAATTTTTCTTCAAATGACATTCTTTACATTTCACTCTTCAATTCCACTGAAAAGGCCAGTTTTTGATTTGATTGATCATTTACTGAGCACTCATCATTTTTCTCAGCAACCGTTCTCCTCTTCTTTAGTGGAAACACAACAAAGCCAGCTGGGTGAAACAGTAGAAAGTAGTTGGTGTCAGCCACAACTTTGTCACCAGACAAAGTTTGGTATCGTGGGACCACGACTCCAAGCTCCCCTTCATTTGCCTGTACCTGACACCCAGCCTTGTAGTTGGATGACACTCGGGTGGGGACCCAGGTCATCTGTTTAATCAAGGTCTAAAATATTTTGTAAATCTGTCTTTTTTGTAGATTTATTAAATGTTATCACTGTGTTGTTTCATAACCTCATAATTATAAGTTAGTGTGTTTTCAATGCAGATGTTAGATGTTTGTCTGACCACAGTTATTAAATGTGTTTATCAGTAGCTGGTCATCTCACTAATGAGGCTCTCTTTGTGTTTGATGGGAGAACATTAAATCAGCCTGTTCAGCTGCTTCATTCATGCTTCTTCTATTACTGTAAATCTGTTGCTTCAATAAAGTCCTCATCCTCTGTCTGTAAACATAGCGGTGATTCTCTGAATGCTGACACGCTGATGACATCATGGCTGCACTTGCCACAAATCAGACGCGAGCTGCTGAACGAAGAGATGATTGATTACAGGCCATCAGCCAGAAATCAGTTTTAATCAACTTGTTTGTTCTTTTACACACTTCCTGTTTTGGACTGAGGCATGCTAGTCCATTGAGCTGTTATCATGGTAACAGTGTGGCCTTTAACAAGTGAGTGGTTGTTTGTAATGGTGCGGGTCAGCGAACAGCGAACTCATTGTAAAAACTGGAGCTGATCACAGTGGTCATCACTCTGAAACACAAATACTGATCACACTGACTGATGGAGAAGGAAGCAGACATGAAAAGACCAAACCTACATTCACAAAGCAGCACATGTTCAACCGAAAACAGTCTGCTGCTGATAGTTGGGTTAGGGTTGTCCAATACAGTATCAGCTGGGATTGGCTTCAGATATACAATAACAAATAGAACTGTGGTGTGCTGACACCACAAGACAAACTATCTGCACATCTGAGGAAGAAAATCATTTTAATTGCACAAGAGAGAACAAGGGTATAAGAGGATAAGCAAATCACTGCTAAAAAGTCAAAGCACAGCAAGAAAGTGTAACAGATATTCAGAAAGTATCAACTTGTGACAAGCTCCCTAAACTGTTCAGGCCATCCCTGTAAGATTTCATCTTTTGTGGTTGTTGTCCAACCAGGAGGCCCTGCTTGAGGTCTAAGCACAGAAAGCCTGGTTAGACTTTTTCAAGGTCTATACTGATAAATGTAGAGTTCTGGGAATTGGTACTGTGGTCTGATGAGACAAAAGTCTGTCTTATGGATCTGATAGCATCCAACATGCATGGCATCATAAGAGCAAGAACCATAGTGAAACATGGCAGGGGAAGAGTTCTAATATGGGGCTGAGTGAGTGCTAATGGGTAGGTGGAGGTATCTGTGCTTCACTGATAGCATCATGTAGCCACAAATGTAATGCAACATTGTGAAAGAGAGAAAAGTGAAAGTGTGAAAGTGCAACCCTCTCTTTATTCCCTGGGGCTTTGGGCACTTTGTCGATATTACAATGGCCTTAAACATTGTGTCAAGGTCAGTACTGCATTCTTATAGAAGAACAAGGGTAAGTGCTGCAGTGACGCGGTATGTCACTTGACCTTAACCTAACTAAGCACCTGTGGGGAATAATTAAGTTACAAACTGAGGACCACTTTTCATCAATCATCAAGGCTCTCAATGAGTTCAGGAGCTCCCAGGAATAAAAGAAGATATATCTGATTGTATGTCTTGAATGTGTACACTTGGTGCCAAGAAGACTTGGTGGTGTATATTTAACAAAGGAGATAAAGAATATTACAATTGTTTTAGATGTATGGGTTTATGGAAAAAAGTGCCTGTTGAAATATCTGGGCTAGTTTTCACTGTTAGCAGAAGCACCACTGAATCTTGAGCAGGTGTCAGTGTCACTACACAGTCAGTGAGTAGGTTAAAAAACTTTAGTAAATGTTTATTATTGTTATCATGTGTATGCTACATACATGAATCATGTGACTCAAACTTCAGGTGTGTGTGGGCAATGAGGAGGTTTTGACCTTCCTCACCTTAACACCACACATTTCCAATATGTTTTCCATGTGGTGTTCCATCATCCAAGCTTTGAGTTTAGCTCTTTGAGTTCCTTCTTCTTTTGCACTGATTTAATGGCCCCAACTGGAGAATCAGCTCCACCAGCTGTTTATCTCTATTAGCCAGTTAGCTCAAACTCACACAGCAGGAGGGGGTGAAAACTATTTGTTCCATAATTTGGAAATTCAGCTAACATCAGAGCTTTGTTTAGGGGGAAACAACTTCTGGCTGTGAACAATCCCACAGTAATGTAGCTGCAGCCACCAGTGTTGATACAGTGATGGATAAATGATGGAGTTACTGTTGAGGGTTTTAAGAAGAAACGTTCCCTTGATTCACAATATCTTCAGGAATTTATTTATATGCAGTCTGGGCCACACCTCATCTCATCATGACTACAACTTACATAAGTATGATGGAGTTCGATTCTGTGACTACAGACGTCCACAGACAGTTTGAGTTCTCTGTCAATAAAACGAATCTAATCCTCGTGTGGGTGTATTAAAAATACATACAAGCAGCCTAACACTGCTGTGTTTATTTAAATGTGTTTTCTTTATAAGGCGCAGACACACCGTTCATCAGCTGACTGATGAGTGATCAGACAGACAGCAATAATCAAACACAGCTGTCGCTGTCAGAGAGAGCCAAGAAACCATCGAACCAGAAATCGGGTAAAAACAGACAGTGACCCTGCAGCAGGGTCCAGCTCGTAGCATTCAGTCATGGTCTTCGAATCTTTGGTCAGTGACCTGCTCAACAGGTTCATCGGAGACTACGTGGAGAACCTGGACAAGTCCCAGCTCAAGATCGGGATCTGGGGAGGTGAGCTCAGCAGCTAGCTTGCTAGCAGCCACCGCGGTAACACACCGAAACAGACCAGACTCCATTCAGAAATCTCGCACTTTAAAACCTCTTCTTTCTTTACAAAAATGAACACATCATAGAACATGTCAGAACAGTTATTGCTGAATGTCCGTTTCTAATGTTAAAATAGACAATCTAAAAAACAAATCTACTTTTGCTACAATGAAATTTAAACTTTAGTCAGAGTTTTGCTTGGTGTTCGCGCCTCCTCTCCACTGAAATAAAGGCGGAGATTTTAGCGGATGCAAGCGCTTTGTTGCAGTTATAAATGTGACGTTTTGTTGATTTGAGGGATTGCTGAGTGATAATATGTATGCAGAACTGTAGGTGGGCTCACAGCGATCAGAAAGACCATTACTCGTGTGCCTTTGTGAACAACTTTAACCAGCAAACTCATTTCCATTATATTACTAAGTGTGCACCGAGGTTTGGCGTGTTAATCTCATCGTCACCGAACGTTAGTAAACGGGCCAGCAGCGGGGTAAACAAGCAAACCCCGCACTCGCATACCTGGGGATACTGACAGCAGACTGACTATCAGTCCTCTGTTGCACCTGTCCAGGTGTGTCAGCCCGTACGACCTGAAATACTCCTGAATATAAAGGGTTAAACTGACTGACTGAGATTGCGGAAGGTTATTTCAGTTACCCTGCCGCTTATCTTGCTAAACACATACAGTGTCTGTGCTGTACAGTAGAGATAGGCGATAGCAACATTTTTTCTTTATATACGATACCATTAGTTTATGGTACTTTTCCCATCGATACCGATACTTTTTGCACCTTAAAGGAATTTTACTTAAATTAATAACATTCTAGAATCAAAACTGTTTGCCAGTATTTTCTGATGCATACAGTACAAACATGTGAGCCTTTACGTTTGTCAACTAAATGAAAGAGTGGTAAACTTGGCTTCATCCAGTGATGGTCCTCTGACACCTGAGGCTCCGACACATGCGCGGTAGCTCATGAAGCAATTGTATCGAACCACTGTCCCGAGGCGTGTTTCGGTCACATAGATAGATAGATAGATACAAAGTTACAGCGATAGACCTAAATAACGTCTGATATATACATATATAATACCTAAATAAATAAAGAAAGAGAGAGAGATTAACTATGAGCTAGTGCTTAATGCTGCCATAATCATGGGACATGGAAGACCATCTAAAATACACTCGAGCTGGTTTTCACACATAAATTTAGTACCTGAAACTCTCAGAAGTGAAAACAAATTGCACATTTTGTATTAGCACAGTGGTATTGCGATACTTAAAAAAGTATCGACTCTAAAATATTGACTGGCTGGTATCGAAGTATCAATACCAGAGTATTGATACGCCCATCCCTACTGTACAGCCAGAACTTGTATCATCCGTGTGGAGACCGATTATTCCTCACAGGCTTGAGGTTGTTCCCGACAACAACACGGTACACAAGAGGTTAAAGATGCAACACGATGAAACACGTGGCTCATATTCAGTTAAAACTAACTCAAGATCAGAATCAGACTTTTACACACCATATCATCAAGTATTATACCCAGAGATCATCTGCATGAAAACAGCCTGTAACGTCTGAAGTAACCACACTGCAGTAACTTTGTTCTGGCTCAGGTCTACATCAGCTAAAAGTAAAAACACCTATTGCTAGTTTGTTTTGCTCACCTCACACAGAATAATAGGATGCAAAAATACAACTCAATTTGTCTCCTAAATGCTGAATCAACCAGAAGATCAAGTTAATTTTAAAATCATCATGTGAACATTCATCATAAGAAAACAGTATTGATCTGAATAACAGTTCCAGATAATTGAGCGTGGTTTACTGTGATATGCGTAATGTTATGGGGTGTGTATGCTCATCTTTGTGGTGTTAACATGTAATGTAATTGCCTGACCATTGCCACAGACAAAGAATTTCTGAAAGGACAATAAGTTGAATTCAATTATTTTAATTATTAACTAAGCTGTTAGTTATTTTCTTAACTGAATTAATTCATTTAGTCTATAAAAAGTCAGAAGACAGATAAAAAATGATGTATTCAAAAGCATTGCTGTCCAGCGATGCTGCCCTGTAGCCATGGTTACGGTGGAGCGCAGCATGCTACAGTGCAGTGCATGACATTGGGGGATTGAGTTCAACCACCGACATGTGGCTCAGGTCATGTCTGTCTCCATGGCTTTCTGTCTGCCTCTCTGCAACCTGCTTTCCCCCCAAAAATAACAAAATAAAGAGCAGAAAAAAATCAACTAGATTTCTAGGTCGAAGACGTTTCACCTCTCACCCGAGAGGCTTCATCAGTTCTGACTGACTGGTGTTGAGCCGGAGATATTTATCCCCCTCGGTGGTGTTTCAGTCCTTTGAAGGCCAACTGAGTTGTTGGGGGACATTGTTGGCCTGGATGACTGAGAATCTGCACAGAAAAAATAAAGCACATAAGACCCAAAAAATAAACTTAAAAAAGTTTTGTTGTCCCACCAACAGAGCAGAAAGATAATGAATAAACTGAAACCTGAGAATTTGTAACATTTTATTTTAAAACCAAATTGAATGAATCATTGCGTATCTTTGTTGTTGCATGAGACATTGTTGCTGAGATCTTGTTGGTAAAACACACCAGTGTAATGACTGTACCTGTCTGACAGGTTATAGACTACTGTACTTTCCTCATGCCTGTTCACCTGTCTGTCACATAACACCTGGAAAATCATCTGTTTAGTGACTCCTCAACAACCTCACTGATTGAAATCTGTAATGTACTATACAAATATCACCAGTGTTTTATGGCAGAGTATACCAACATATTAAATGGTTATATTCTAATAGTCAATAAGTCTGTGTTTGTTGTTCTTGTTTGTTTCTGCAGGAAATGTTGTACTTGAGAACCTGAAGGTGAAGGAAAATGCTCTGGTAAGTCCTGAACCTGTAGCTTCCCACTGAAACATGCAGTCCTGCTCACCCGAGAGGTTTAATGTTGGTTAACCTGGTGTGATTAATGAACTGCTGAGTCAGTTCCTGTTACTTCACTCCAAACTCAAAGGATCTGATCTCACCACCACTTTGGTCCAAACATTAACTCTTAGTAGTTCAATAAATATGGGCCTTGAAGGCTTTGTGGCAGTGTTACACTGAAGCCTCTTCATGGTCACTGATCTTCTTCACTTCACAGCAGAAACCAGACTTCCTGTTAGACTTTAGCATTAAAAGGGCCCATGGCGCTTTTCCTTGTTTTCTGACTTATCTACAGTGTTACAGCAATGAATTATCATCTTAAACGTGACTAAAAGTAAAAAAAAAAAAAAACGAGGTTTACCTATATTGTTGTACTTCTCTGCAGAAGCAACTCAGTTTATTCAAGTCTCGCAAACTCGTTCATGCGATGTTTTTTTTTCTATAAAGTCTTACCCAGTAGTTCATAGATTCCTTGAATGGTCATAATCTCCTGACCGTTGCGAGTTTTCCTGCCATCCACTGGTGCAACTGTGTCTGTTTTTGTGGATATATTTTCCCTCTTGCTGCTGCACTGTGACCAGAGGATATGGAGAAAATTACAGGGCCTGAGGTTACTGCATGTCTGGGAATGTTCCTGTACAGGGACTCGCTGTTTTACCTGACCGGGTCTAACCTATAAGCAGCCGGCCAGTGAAGTCCCCGCAGCAGTGAATGATCAGCTGATCAATGCTGGATTCCCCTGGAGCACAGTACCCGTTTGTTTTGACTGCTTGAAGCCAGTGTGTCTGCAGCATGTGATGTGTGGCTGGTTAACAAGTGGCTTCACAACCCATGATGTTATTCTCGGCGTTACGCTACTTGTTGGAATTAATTTCACTACTTTGGGACTGTATGTGGTCGTGTGGGGGAAGATGCAGCGACCACTGGTTGGAGCTACTTGAAAGGGAGTGATGTTTCCACTACTGGGTGGGACTTAATGGTACGTTAAAAAAAAACACACATTTCTTGTCTGTTGATGCCTTGTTTCTGTAATGTTTGAGAGAATTGTTGTAAGGCTGGAGAAGTTACCATGTCTGCATTATGCCAGTTAAAATATGGGGATTCTCAGTTACCCGCTTTGTTTAGAGTGTTACACTTTTCATCTGTACCGTTGTTTACCTGTCTATGGAGGAGAATTTTTGTTTATTCCTCATCCTGGCTTTCTGAGTGGTCTTGTGTCAAAGTGCTTCCCCGTCGAGCCGTTTCCCTTGTTCAAAACTCAGTTTCATGTAGCGCCCCCCTCAGTGGCTGTGGTTAGATAACTTAGAGTAAATATCAATTGTACATATCTATCAGTAAATTAGTTCTGACTGTACAGACTGTGGATACTGCGCACTTTGCACTGCTGTTATTGTACTTCTGGTTAGATGCTAAACTGCATTTCGTTGCCCTGTACTTGTATGTGTGTAATGGCAAAGTTGAATCTAATCTAATCCTCGACAGGAACCAGACTGTGTGGTTGCAGCAGTGCCCCCCCCCAGCTGTCATGAGAATTACTCTCCATAAACATGACCTCAATGAAGATGGAAAAAACTTGAATCAATTTGTGTTTTGTTTCAGAGTGAATTTGATGTTCCCTTTAAAGTGAAGGCTGGACAAATTGGTGAGTACTGAGGGATGTTTGAATCCAGTTCTGTTGGAGTAAAATCTAATCAGAGAACCGAAAATAAGTGAAGCAATGCCTGTAGAATAAATCAGCATTAGTTAGTTAAAACTAGAGATAATAAAATGTACAGTACATTGTAAGCTGGTGACTGAAACATAATGAAACTTAAAATGATAAAACACTTAAATAATAAAACTTTGTGAGTCAGTGAAAATTAAAAAAATAAACCTTTGTGAGCCAGTGGTTGATGATTAAGCAGGTTAACATCTGAGAGTGTCAGCAGGTTTAACACACAGCTACACTTGGTGTGTGTGTGGTGGGGGCATTACACAGCTTCAGTGTGTGTTAAGACGGTGCTCAAACATTACATCAGACAAATTATTCTGGCCAGTGACTTAACACTTTTGTAAGTGAAGCTCAGGGTGAAAATCATTCCTGTTTTTGGCCAGCCGTCACTGTTCCCGGTTAAAATGACGAACAGCAGTGTCATTTCGGCTGTTGCTAACTAATGTTAGTTCACTGAATTATAATGATGTCTGGCCAAATGCAGAGCCTAATGCACTGAAACAAAACCACTGAACCCTGATGGACCAACAGATCTGACCTGACTTTCTAACCTAAACGTGTCTGTTCTGGATTGACTTCCTGTTTGTGTTTCAGGGAAGTTGACGTTGAAGATTCCCTGGAAGAACCTGTACAGCGATGCTGTGGTTGTCGTGCTGGATGGACTGTACCTGCTGGTTGTTCCTGGAGCCAGTAAGTGATGTTTGAACCTTCTGGTTTAGAAAACTGTGTCAGCAGGCACTGCTACAATAATACTTTGGTATCGGTATTTAGACGTTCCAAATGCAAGAATCAGAATCTGCTTTATTGGCCAGGTGTGTCGGGGACAAGAGGAATTTGACTTCGGTACATCAGCTCTCAATGTGCATGTACTGTACATATCCCCATGCAAGGGGCAAGTAAACAGTAAACCAGCATAAGGCTGTGTAATATAACAAAATAAGCAGTATTAACAGCAACACTGACAGCAACAAACAGTGCAAGGTTTAATGACACGGCTCCATCTGCAGATACAGTATCTCTCTCCATCACCACATCAGCCGGTCACATTTCAGGGTATAGTTTCATTGATAATAATTAAAGTGTCAGATCAGACCTGGCATCTGCAGATACCCAGTGCAGGGCTCTGTTTGGGATCAGGACCAAAAACTTTGATCAGGACACTCCTAATAGATGATATCTCAGATTTATCACATTCAGCTGAAAAGGCAGCAAATACTCAACAATATAAAAACTATTCAGCTCAGATTATTATGCTACAACTCTCACAGAAATAAAACCTAGTTACACACAGGGTATGAAAATGAACTGTTTGACTCACTGTTCAAGGTGGCTGGTAGATGGGAAAAAATCCACCGGCCGAACATATTTTTTATCTGCCAAAATAATAAATTGCTTTTTTGTGTCACAGATGCCTACACATTTGTTTAAGTCATTGAGATAAGATATTAGTCTTTGTTGAATAGAGATGTAAAGAGGCCAGTGCAAAATAACTACTGTATTGATCACCAGGTAATATATTTGATATGTTCATTTTGGAATTAAAAGCCACAATACAATTCAAGAAGCCTTGATCTCAAAATTCTACTTAACATATTTGTTATAGTGTACTTCAGGGACAACAAAAGTAAATGTGAAGTTATGTAAACCCACCCATCTGTCTGCATCGTTTACTGCCTGTTTATACTGCTTAGTTTGTTATATTAGCCTTATGTTGGTTTACTGTTTACTTGCCCCTTGCATGGGGATATGTACATGCACACTGAGAGCTGATGTACCAAAGTCAAATTCCTCATTTGTCCAACACACCTGGCCAATAAAGCAGATTCTGATTCTGCTAAATCCTTTGAACCGACTCAGAGCTCCTCCTGAGTTGCCTCACTCTAACTGCCACCAGTCCATCAACTCCTGGTCTCCTGTGCGGTGCCCAATTGCACAGCCTTAAGAGCGTGCATATCATGAATGCTGGGTCTTGTTTGCTTTCTGAGAATCTACTGCACCTACTGGTAACTTGTTTGCCATGTAGCAATAAAAAAATATACTAAAAACCTGGATTATTCTGGTTAGTCACATTGTACTGCTATTATTTTGAACAATACTGTATGTGCCTGTGTTCCGTGGGAACCCGCCCTGCTCAGCCTCTTAGCGGCTATGAAAATAGCCAGATGCAGAGGGCGTGCTAGACTTTCGCGTCCTTTATTTTGACAGACGGGGTCATAAGAACTGTGGCCATTGTGAACAGCCCATTTACATGATGTTAACTGAGTTGAACTCAGCTGACCTGCTGCAGAGGCAACTGTCACTAGATTTCTCATGGCCATTATACACTCACTAGTCACATTATTAGGTACACCTGTACCACTGCATGTACTTCAACGCAGCACTTCCTCCTTAACATCTGTGTGTATGAAGCTCAGAATGTTTCAGCTTTTGGTGAAATTGTCATAAATGTATAAATTCAATTATATTTTGTTTATTATTGAGGTCATAGTTAAAGTTGGTGTTGTACTGGACTACATTATATTCAGAGGTGTTCCTAATAATCTGATCCACTCATGTATATAGCTATGGAGGGCAAAAATCCAGAGACATGTCTATCAAAGCAGACACTGCAGGAGGAGATGTGTAGCTTGAGTTTCGCTTTAACACAGACCAGGTCAGTGTGAATGCTGCGTCACCTGAACACGGTGTAGCAGCTCTGTGGAGAAGCACACAGAGGGTGACCTCCGGTCGGACAGCAGGAACAAACTTTACAGACAATTAACAAATAACAGTATCATTTTGATTATACATGTTTTGGTTGGTACAGTAAACTGTCAGTTAAATGCAAGAACAAAATGCAGCCGATCCAGAATAATGTGCTATATAATAAATGCACTTTCTCAAACGCATATTGGCAGTAAAGAATTTAACAAGGTAAAAACGTCATCATTATATACAGGATCAGAAATGGGTCTGCTTCTCAATGTCTGGGCTCTCAAACAACAACGGTTCATTTTCAGCACAACTATAATACTACAGCCAGTGTGCGATCTCATATGGTCCCTGGAAAAAATAATATTGCCAGATGCTTCTTCCTTTATTTAGGTATCTTGTTGTGACTTTCTTTATACATTCATTTTTAGAAATCTGGTGAAGACCTTCTATGGAGTATGGTTACTGACTGATGCATTATATTTTGTTGTTTTGAGGTCACCTTTTTTGTAAAGTGAGAAAATATGCAGCTAAAATTGTAACATTTAAACTGTGAACCTGTATTTGTTGTACAATGTTTTTTTGTTTTGTTTTGTTTTTTTACATCTTGGGACCATGTAGGAAATGTTTGTCACTTTCACATTGTATCCCTTAGATTCTTCTATGACTGTTGATCCATAAATAAAACATAACATAATGGAGCTCAGCATGAAGAGTAGGTTGATCAAATGCAAAATCAGTTTGAACTCCAGCTCAACTGTTTTGTTGATTTCATTTTTTTCCTCAGAGATAAAGTACGATGCAGCAAAGGAGGAGCATCACCAGCAGGAGGTGAAGCAGAGAGAACTGCAACGCATTGAGGAGGCGCTACAGATGGCTGGACGCCGAGGTGAAAGACCGTCCACTGACCGACCTCTAACAACTGATTTCTGGCCGACCTCTGACTTGTGACTGATCCTGTAACACCTGAGGGCTCATCCGGTGGTTTCTCTTCTGTTTTCTGCCTGCTCTCTGTTCTTTGCTGCTTTGTCATCAGAACATTTTGCTGGTTGGAACTTTGTTTTCTGGTAGTCAGACTCGGAGATGGCAGTCGCACAATGCAGCCGTCGCTCGCAGAAACAATAATTGCAACAAGAACAAGTGTCATTAACAATAGGAGCGAGTGTTGCTAACTTGAGTTTGTATGGTTCATTCCAGTAGTGAGGGCTTGTTGACACACGATGTGTGACTTAGATGTTGAATAGTAACTGAAATATAGAGAGCCAGTTGGGTTGTATCAGTGATATTATGGTGATTTTCTTGGAGGAGTAGCAAGGTTTGTTCATTGTCAGAATCCAGTTTGAATTTGTAGTTTGTAAGTGACATGTTTGGTATCTTCAGGCTAAGCTGGTCCCCCAGTTATCAGTTATAGATACCCAATATTGATTCTGAGTACGTGGATGTGGTAATAAAATCTAACAGTGGATATTTTCGCACACTAACACTGGGAGGAGGAAGGATTACAGATGTGTACATCTGAATGGAACGAGTCATAGACCTCATCCAGAGGAGGCTTGCCTCTTAATGGTTGCATTCACACTGAACTCTTTACACATCTGGTCCACACAGAGGACATGACATGACTGGAGTAATTGTGGTCCTGGATGTATGAATGCATTAACATGTTGTCTGTATTGTTCATGCTGCGTTTGCTGTCAGCCTCTCAGGCTGGAGACCTGCTGTTCAGTCTGGAAAGTGTTGTGTACAAGGAGCCTCATAACGGTAACACACACACACACACACACACACACACACACACACACACACACACACACACACACACACACTTTAAATTCCTTACTTGAATATATACTGTATGTTCAACACTCCTCCAGCTGTTCACAAACTGATAGTTTAAACTGTTTGCTTTTACTTTGGTAAAGCTGATGACCTACTGCCTGTTTTAGTTTCACAGTCGGATTTGATCAGCGGTATCTGGGAACAGCGACTTATCCTGCAGGGTTCGAGCAAACAGGATAATGAAACAAAGTTGAAATCAGAATAGATAGAATATAACCCGCAGATACGAAGCTACACTGACGTCACACAGGACTGTCGGTAAATGCTGGCATTACACTGCAGTCTGACTACTTCATAGACATTGACAGTAAGAACAGCTGATTCTAACAAAATATAAACGGTGAAAACCACGACACACCGGTTGTAAAACTCTTTTGAAGGCATTTATCTTTGAGGGTTTTATTATTTTCTCCCAAAGTGCTTCAACAACCTATATGGCTTTTATAAGATTCATGTGCTCGTACAGAAGTTTGAGTACTAATATAAATCTGCATACTACAGTTCACGATTCAACATCAAGTCAGTTAGAAGTATGGAAGGTAGAAAGCATTTATTTGATGTATTGGTCCTTTAAACTGCTAATAAGTTGTGACGTCATGCCGAACAACAGTTTGGCTCTTATCTGGTTTTAGGAGAAATCAGCAGAAATTCAGTAATTGGCTGTTCTGCTCTCACTCAACAGAATTACACAGGGTTGATGCTACTGGTTGAATCTAAATATTAAACCTTGAAATAACAAATGTGTGTGTTGCTTCCTGCTTTGTTCTGTGTGTTTTCGGGCTTTTCTGTCACTAACCCGCATCTCTCTCATTAATGCTGCCAAAGTCCTAAAAGGATTAAAAAAACCTAAAAAACACAAAAAAGGCTTGAAGAAACTGAAACGACTTGACAAAAGATCAGGTGAGTTTACATATCCTGCAGTGAAGTTCAGTTTGTGATGAAGACGGGCTTTGATGTTGATCTGGGGATTCAAGCCAACATTATTTTAAAACTCAGACTGAATATTCATTGTTTGTACAGCCTGTCCTTGCACAGTGATGTGTTGGTACCTCTGTTTGGGGGTAAAAAAAGTTGGAAAAACCGTGTAGGACTTGTTTCTAAATACCCAGAGAGTTGCAGACTTTGGTTGGTGGCTAATGTAATGTTCTGCTGGAGAGTTTGTGCCTTAGTTTTTCTAAAATCCTGGCTGAATCTCGGATTTCATCCTTGCTGTTATCTCCTTTGGAATCCGCCTTCAGTGTAATATCTCAATAGTTATCAATGTTTTCTGAATATCTTAAAAACTACTACTTGCTGTAGTTTTTCAGATTTTTAGTTTAGTCTAAAAGATTTGGTATAGTTTTTAAATTTTTTCACTGTCTCAAAATGTGTCTAGATGTCCTGGTTTCTGTTTCGATCCAGGTCTGAGCCTGGTCTCAGGGCTTCTCTGTCTTCACAGTTTTTTTTTTTTGTTTTGTTTTGTTTTGTTTTTTTCCAGAGAAGTCCCAGGAGGAGAAGAAGGACACCTTTGTGGAGAAACTGGCCACTCAGGTGATCAAAAACCTGCAGGTGAAGATCAGCAGCATCCACCTGCGTTATGAGGATGACGTGAGTACTGATCCAGGTTCTGGTTCTGGTGTTAGGAGCTCCAATCAGTGTCTGCCAGTCAGGTGCATAGTGGTCACATTAAAATCACACCTGTTCATTTGTCAGTGTTACAGTGGGCAGGTGAATCAGATCTGACTGGTCCTCTCCTGCAGGCAGTTTGACACTAGAGGTGTTGGGTAATTTTAACTCATCACAAAATCTTTAAAGATTGCTCCGGTGTGCATGGCAAGCTGTCCGTCTCTCCCTGCTCCTCCTATTTTTTTTATTTTTTTTTAAATTTCATT